CATGTGCATTTAGACTCAGAGCAATTGACAATGAACTATGTGCTGTTTCATTCCTCCTTCCTGCACACCAATTGTCCATTTGGACCATCCTCCTACGTCAATATTGCCTCATGGGGTTGAAAGCTGTAACAGCCTCATAAGAGAAACTGCCCAGTTTCACGCCCCCTCCTGATACTTGTACATCTTGGTTATTCCCATAGGCTGCCTGAAATTTTGGAGAGCCAGGCCTTGAGATAAGAGCTTCCCAAGCTCCTTTCCCTCCTCTGAGTCTAAATCAGCAGGCGTAGGGAATGCTCAACGAGAGCACCCTCTGCATTAGTTTGACAGTTCTACACATGCTCCTAGACTGGAAGTTCAGTAGTGCTACAAATGTGTTTTAATTCTCTGAATTCTCTAGTAAATGGGTTTTTAGCCCCAAAGCAATGGCAATAAGCTGTGCGCTGTTGCCAGAAATATCTGATGGGCAGGGAGCCAGGAGCCAGAAGGTTTTTGTACAGCTTCTCCTTTGCTTTGTCTCACTGTGCTTCTTGCACAGTAATAGGTGGCCGTGTCTGCAGCTGCGAGAGACCTCAGCTCGATATAATACTGGTTCTTGGAGGCGTCGGCAGTCAGGGTGGCTTGGCTTTGGAGAGACGGGGCATAGTATGTTCTCCACCGATTGCTACTCCAGTCGATTTCGCCCACCCATTCCAGGCTTTTCCCAGGAGCCTGGCGGACCCAGTCCCAGTAAACGTTCTTCACAGAATCCCCTGTCACAGTGCAGGTCAGCCTCAGGGTTTGCCCTGGCTGCAATATTCCTCCTCCTGATTCTTCCAGCTGAACACTTGCGTGGACGGCTAAAGTGAAGCAGAAGACATTGATTAGTGTAGCATTTGCTGTAATCGCAGTTCATTCCTCACTTCCCTGAGAAAAATACTCACACAATGGAGGTGCTAAGAAGCAAAGAAAAAGAAAGGAGAGCTGCATTTTGCCCACAAAGAGGTAATCCTGCTGCTGGAGTGAGCTGGCCGAGCATGCACCAAACCCTATCCCTTCAAGTGGAGGAGTGGCCACCTAAATGGAGAAGAGACACATGTGCAATTTGCATCTGCTTTCAATGTCATTGAATATGTTAATATTTTCTAGTTAAATATCCTTTCAAGTTGCAATTTGTAGTTCTGCAGTAGCAGATTTATACTCCGTTTACTGCTTGCAAATTTTACTACGAGGTGCTCTACATGCACCTGCACATGGAATGGCATAACAGAGCAGTAGCAATCCAGTGTGTGTGCGTTTGCTAGTTGTGTCATTGTAGTCCCTGCTGTCAGTTTATTATTTATTTATTTATTTATTTATTTATTTATTTAAACATTTTTATGCCGCCCCATTCGCCGAAGCCTCGGGGCGGCTTACAACAAACATGTAAGAATGTTCTGCATTGTCTAGTAGGTTAAACACTCAAATGAAATAATGAAATGCATTGGAATTGAATACATTATAGAAACATAGAAACAGAGGAAGTCGGAAGGGGCCTCCCGGGCCATCTAGTCTGAGCCCCGGCTCCAACCAGCTCCGCTTATGACATGCCCACCATGTTCATGTACAGCCTATCCTAGAACACCCTCACCCATAGTGCCTCAACCACATCCAATGGAAGCCCATTCAAAACCCTAGGGGTCCTAACTGTCAGGAAGTGCTTCCTGTTATCTAAAGGGAACATTGGTTTTTTCAGCTTTGCTCTGTTGGAGCATGTCCTGTCTTCCTCTACAAGGTCTCTACCCATCTCCATGTGACATCCACTCACATACATGTATACAGTGGTAGTAATGCCTCTCTCTATCCTGAAGCCACACTTCTGGCTACGGAACCAAGGCTGGCGTTCACCCTCTTGACCACTGTATCGCACTGCTGTCACATATTTAGTCTGCATTATACATTATAACATTCAAAGGGGTATGTTCAACCATTCTGAAGAACCAGGGTGAGCTCCACCAGGTCTCCCATCCACTGCACATGAGGGTCTTCAGTCAGAGGATGCACTAACTTGTTCCCAGGAAAGGAAAGGGCTCACCAATCGATCATCTCCTCCTGTACAGGCCAAGAACTAGAGGAACCATGGCTCCCTGAGGTGAAACTTCACGACAGAAATACGCGTGTGGGTTCTCATTACTTCAGGACCCTTTGGCCCCTTTCCTTTTGCTCTTCTCTGGTGGTGACAAACCTGAATGGAAAGGAACCTCAAAGAAATGCACCTCTTTGGCTCGGGTTCCAATGCGCAGAAGATACCCAGTTCAGTACCTTCCATATCCTCAAATAGTATGCCAGGTCCCTTCCAGTGAATTTCAGGAGTCTGCAATGCTCTTCTGGTGGAGTGTGCCCTGGCCGTCCAGTCAATTGCTGTTCCTATGCACCTGGAAGACCTACAGATGAACGTATGTGGATCAAGAAGCGTCCCCCAACCTAGGTATGAAAGCAGGTTCCACCCAAATGCCTATGCTAGGATTCCATCAACTCAAACTCCTTCAGTGGTGGTTGCACTGAGTAAGAACTCTTGCCTTTCTCGGTGTTCCTGTGCAGAGCACGAGTGATCCCAGAGTGACCATAGAGGAGATGAAGAACCTCATTTGCTCTTGGCCAATGCTTCTTACTTTGCAACTGTTGGCAATCCTTTGAAAAATCCTGGTAGGAAATGGTTGCTTGTATGTGCCTTTGAGTTATAAAATCAAAATTGGATTATCCATGAATGTCTTTCTCAAAAAGTACCACAACTCCAAGATAGACCTCTTTTTAGCATTGTCATCACAGCAGTACCTTAATGAGATTTGGAACTCTCAGCTCACAGGATTGCTGCTGCTACATTTAAGTACCAAAGCATTTACAGAAGGAGGGCTACCAAGGAAGCTAACCCCTCTCTGCTTCTCCTGCCAACAGCAACAGCAGCTGATACAACCTGCCAGACAGGTTTTCTAAAGCAGCATTACAATCAGCCTCATTTTCATGCCAAGATACCAATTCACCCTTGCCTTCCTGAAGTATTAATAAACATCTAGTAATCACAGATGCTATTCCATGAACTCCCCTCTGCAGATCTCTCACATTGTTTTTGACTGCGTCTCCACTATTTTATCTTCAATTCCCATGCTGCTCTGCAAATTGGACTCAGAACCTAGAAAACACTCTGCATAAGTTCATAAAGCTTGCACGTGGTCACACTTCCAGCTGGCAGAGCTGTTGAAAGTTGGGTCCACTGCAGAGGGTGCCCTGTTTGTCTCACCTATAAACAGCTGAGGTTCAAGGTGTCAAGGGTTTTTCCCTAGTAAATGTATGTGTTTATATTCCCGTCTTCTATCTAGACACCCTGGCACAGCTGACATAAGCAGAAATCCTCAGCCTTTCCGTTGAAACCACATTTTCCAATCCCCTTTTATTTCCTTGAAATAAATGCCAATTCTCCACCAAAGAAACCTCCATCAGTGGTGCATATACTGAATGGCTTTCCAGAGTTCCTGTGCACATCCCGAGGAGTCTGAGAGCAACTGTGGTAGAGTTGGGGACCTGTTGTGCTCCTGATCACTGTCCGGAGCACAACAGCTTTCCAGCTGACATAAGCAGGAACGCTCAGAATTGCTGTTGAAACCACTTTTTCCAATCCCCCTCTTATTTTCTCAAAGTCAGCAATGGTTTACAAGCCACTGCTGCCATCTTCTGTTCAGTTGACGGACAAGAGAGACCCACTCCATGTATCAGAAATGGTGCTTCTGCTGCAGGGAGGGAAGAATGGCCAGTGGGATATTGTGGAGCTCCCACAAAGCTTTCTGCCAAGTCCAGTAGTTCAGATCTACTTAATTCCCACAACAACAACACTGTGTTTTAGGTGGTCCTGAGAGTCCCCCAGTTGGCTCCAGGGCTGGGTGGGGACTAGTATCCACAGCATCTTAACTGCATGCCAACCCTCTTGACCTCTACACCGCACTGACTCTCCCTTTATCTTACTCGCCACCTTCATACCAGGATTTGCCAAGAAAGCAGAAGCAATGGAACTTTCAGGCACGTTAAGAAGGACTTTGATCTTCACATAGGCCTTTGATTGCCTTTGATCACCCCCTTTCAAAGGATGGGAAAGTTGAACAAATGGAAGAAGGGATATATTGTCTCTCAACACACACACACATATGCATGCACCGACGCACCCAGTAAATAAGAAAGAAACAAAAACATTATGAAATGCAGTCCAGCATGTTCTACCCTAAAGGACAGTGCAAGAATGCAGAAATCTCTTGCACAACTCCATCAGCATCCATGGCATATGTAGCTCAGCTGAAGGAGCCTGAACTTAACCAACAAGAACAGCACCCTCCGCATTTGTTTGACAGTGCTACAAGTGCTTCCAGATTGAAGGTTCAGCAGTGCTATGAATGTCTTTTAGCCTCTGCATACACTAGTAAATTTGTTTTAAGGCCCAAAGCTACAGGAATAAGCTGTGTGCTGTTTCCTGCAATGGGTAAGGAACCCGGAGCAAGTGCCTTCCCCTTTTTGTAAAGCTCCCCTGTTGCTTTGTCTCACGGTGTCCTTTGCACAGTAATATGTGCCTGTGTCTGCAGCTGCCAGCGACGTCAGCTCGAGATAATACTGGTTTGTGGAGGAATCGGTAGTCAGGCTGGCTCGGCTCTTGAGAGACGGGGCATAGCGTTTGCTCCACATAAAGACAGTCCAGTAGATGCAGCCCACCCATTCCAGTCCTTTCCCAGGTGCCTGGCGGAACCAGTGCCAGTAGTCATACCCCAAAGTCCCTCCTGTCAAGTTGCAGGTCAGCCTCAGGGTTTCCCCTGGCTGCACTATTCCTCCGCCAGATTCCTCCAGCTGAAGACTTGTTAGGATGGCTAAGGTGAAGAAGGAGACATTGATTAGTGCAGTATTTGCTGGAACCCCAGGTCATTCTTTATGCCCATGTGAAAAATACTCACGCAAGAGATGTGCTAAGAAGCAGAGAAAAAGAAGGGACAGCTTCATTGTGCCCACCAAGAGGAACACTTCCCTCTGGAGAGAGAGATGTCTGAGCACGCACCAAATCCTCTCCCTGCAAGTGGAGGAGTGGCCACCTAAATTGGGAAGAGGCACATGGGCAATTTGCATCTGCTTTGAATGTAATTTCTTATGTTAATATCTCAATGTTAAATATGCAGCAATACCTGATTGCTTTCTAGTTGCGATTTCTAGTTCTGCAGCAGCAGATTTATATTCCATTTACTGTTTGCAAATTTTACTTCAAGGTGCTCTGCCTGCACTTCCACACTGCATTGCATAATGGAGCAGTAGCAATCCAGTGCGTGTGTGTGTGTGTTAGTTGTGTCAGTGTTGTCGCCGCTGTCAGCTTATTATGAATGAATGTTCTGCATTGTCTAGTGGGTCAAACACTCAGATGAAATAGTGAAATGCATTGGAATTGAATACATTATAGAAACATAGAAACAGAGGAAGTCAGAAGGGGACTCTCAGACAATCTGGTCTGACCTCCGGTTCCAGCCGGTTCTGCTTATTACATGCCCACCATGTGCATGTCCAGCCTATCCTTGAACACCCTCACTGATGGGCCTCAACCACCTCCGATGGAAGCCCATCCAAGATAGGCCTCTTTTATGCATTGTCATCAGAGCAGTCCCTTAATGAGATTTGGAATTCTCAGCTCACTGTTGAGCTGCTGCTACATTTAAGTTCCAAAGCTTTTACTTAAGGGGGGCTCCCCAGGAATTTAACCCCTCTCTTTTTTTCCTACCAACAGCAACAGCTGCTGATACAACCTGCCAGACAGTTTTTCTAAAGCAGTATTGCAATCAGCCTCATTTCCATGCCAAGATGCAAAATCATTCCTGAATTCATGACTTATTGGTCAACATGTTGTAATCACCGATCCTATTCCAGGAGCTCCCCTCTTCAGATATGTCATATTATTTTTGACTGTGTGTCCGTTATATTATCATCAACTGCCCTGCTGCTCTGTACATGGGACTCAGAACCTAGAAAACACTCTCTATATATTCTAAAAGTTTGCAATTGGACACTCCTCCAGCTGGCAGAGGTGTTGAGAGGTTGGTTCACTGCAAAGGGTTCCTTGTTTGTCTCACCAATAAGTAGCTGAGGTTCAAGGCGCCAAGACATTTTCCCTAGCAAATATATGTGTTTATACTCCCGTCTGCTATCTAGACATCCTGTCGCAGCTGACATAAGCAGAAATTCTCAGCCTTGCTGTTGAAACCACATTTTCCAATCCCCTTTTATTTCTTTGAAACTAATGCCAGTTCTACATCAAATAAACCTCCATCAGAGGTGCATCTACTGAATGGTTTTCCCAGAGTCCTGTGCACAGCCGGAGGAGTCTGAGAGCAAGTGCGGTAGAGTTGGGGACCTGTTGTGCTCATGGTCACTGTCTTTTTCTTAGCAGCTGACAAGAGCAGGAACCCTCAGCATTGCTGTTGAAACCACATTTTCAAAACCCCTTCTAATTTCCTCAAAGGAAGCGTCAGTTTGTCAATCACTGCTGCCCTCTTCTGTTCAGGTGGCTGACAAGAGAGACCCACTCCACGTATCAGAAATGGTGCTTCTGCTGCAGGGAGGGAAGAATGGCCAGTGGGATATTGCTGAGCTCCCACAAAGCTTTGTGCCAAGCCCAGTTGTTGAGATCACACTTGCAGATTCATCCCTCATGAAGTCTTCCAGACACTGGCCACCTGAAACCCTTCAGGGAGGATGCAAGAAAGCCGGGGAGGAAGGGAGAGGAGAAGATTAGACTGGTGAACAGAAGGAAGAGACCCAGACATCTCATGGATCCATTTAGAGCATACTGCCAATATAGAAATATGTAATTCCTCCTCCTTTTCGTTTTCAGCATACAAAAGTATGATCGCATTGACATGGCCTCCTTGCGTATATCCACTTCATGCTGGTCTCATTTTTTTCTTTAGTCAATTCCTATCCTCCCTTTTTTATTTTTACAAAAATTAAAGTCACTTATGCGATTCCCGGCCTCCTGCTCTCGGTTTAATTCCCACAATAACAATGCTGCAAGTTGGATAGTGCTGAGAGACCCCTGTTGGCTGCATGGCGAGTCACCTGAGTCCCAGGCTCACACTGCACTGGACCTCGTTTTGGCTCACTCGCCACCTTTGTGCCTGGATCTGTCAAAGAGCAGAATCTTTGGGACTTTAAGGCCGGAATGGAAGGCTGAGGGCAATAAGTTGCCATCTCATGGTTTAAAAGGATGGGGATGTTGTATGGATGTAGAAAAGTGATCCACACTTGCACAAGGTCTTATTCATATTATACATCATTTTCCTTGTTAAGCAAGAAGAGAAAAATCTGTTTTATTATTTCTTGAATAGTCCGAGAACAACAGTGGTGCAGCTGGAAACCTCCTGTGCTCCTGGTACTGTCTCTTCCTTTCCAGCTGACAGAAGAGGAAATCCTCAGCCTTGCTGTTGAAACCGCATTCTCACATCCCCCTCTTATTTCCTCGAAGGCAGCAACAGTCTGCAAGCCACTGCTGTCCTCTTCTGTACAGCTGACGGAAAGAGAGACCCGCTCCATTTCCCTGAAGAGGAGCTTCTGCTGCAGTGAGGGAAGAGATGCCGAAGGGAGATCGCTGAACTTCCATGGAGCATTCTGCCCATCTCTTCCCATCCAATGCTCATGAGGGGAAACAGGCACAGGCCACCTGAATTCCTTCAGGAAGGAAGGATGCAAGTAATTAAGCAAGGAAGAGAGTGGGTGAGGTGGGGGAATCGCAGATTGGCAGCCAGATAGAGCAGCCCCCAACATCTCCTGCATCAGTTCAGGCTATGCTATAACATAGACATATATAATGCCTCTTTTTGGTTGCTCTCAGTATATGAATGTAT